ATCTTTAACTTTGTTATCTCGAAAAATCTCATAATCTTCATGCTCTCCACCTCCATAACATTAAATAGAGCTCTTTAATTGGTTGTTTAGAGCTTAACATTGAAGCATTAATCTATTTGAGCTAGACCTTCACACATCCTTGCAGTCAGAGTAAAAGAAAAAAGAAAAAAGGAAGTCAGAAGGAGTAAGAAGCATAACAGAAGAATGGGCAAAAGGGAGAAGAAAAGTAGAGGATATGAGCTTTACATTGGCTTTTGAATTGCTTGGAGACAAGGTTGGTACTCCTGTTGCTCCTTTTATAGCATAACCATGTAGGCTTTGTGTTTGATTAGCTTTGATATGAAATATTTGTTTTAATGCTGGCTAGGCTAGGGTTTGAGTTTTATTTTGTTTTTTTGGTGTTGTCGCGATTTAATTCATACTTAAGAGGGTGAGTTGAGTGGTATTGCATGTTTTGATTTTGATTCTGGTTCAACTTAGAGCTAACAGAGGCCAGGGTTCAGATTTTGGGACTTTTGGATTTTTTTGTTTTAGTTTATGATTTGATTATTTAAATTGGGTTTTATGGACTTATGATCTAGGGACTGCTATTATTTTGGTCGAATTTGGGTCAGTGTAAGGTTGAATTTGGGTTTAGGGTTGGAGTTTAAGAGGTAGAAATGAAGATGTGAGAAGGTCAAGGTTAGGGTTCATTAGGGTTATTCTAGGGTTGGTTAGGGGTCATAGGTAAAAGACTAAGATGATGAAGGTTAGGATTAGGGTTCATGTTTTATGGGTTGTGTTCATCAAGTTCATGATGAACACGGTGAAGAACAGTGGAAGGTGGTGGTGTTCATGGTGGCCTAGGGCGGTGCTAAGGGATGAGGGTAATATTGAGTGGAGGTTGGAGAAAGTCTGGTGGGTGGCGTTTGAGATAGTGGTTGAAGTAGGGAGATGAAGATTGAGAGAAGACAGAGAAAGAAGTAGTAAAAATGAGAATTTCATAGATAGGTCGAGCTTAAATGCTCCTTTTTTCCACGCTTTAGATCAACGCACGTAGCTCCCTTTGGAGCCATCAGATCAAGCCCCTAGCGTGTATCCATGTTCCATCCCCTATGTTAGGCCCTTTCACATATGGGCATGGATCAATTGCTATATCCACACCCTCAGTTTCATTGTGACAACCTCTTCATTTTATTTTTTAAAATTTTTTATTCTTATTTTTTTAATTTAGCTTTTTTAATTAACCAAGTTAATCTAAGTTTAGTTTTAAGTAAATTACATTTTAATTAGTTATTAGATTATTCTATTTAATTAGTATTAATGATTTAAATTAATTTATTAGGCTATTTACCAATTGGATTTATGTGACTTAATTTTGATTGTTAAAAATAAATAAAAAATATTCATTTTATTTTGTTTATTTCTTTTTAGTTAATAAACTTAGATTTATTGGTACTTTCATTTACTAAATTAATTTAAATCATTTCATTTATTTAATACGGAAAAAAATACAAAACATGTCCCCTCAACTTCATTAGGTTAATTAATCTAAAACACAAAAAACACAAAAAAACACAAAAAATACCTAATTCCTCAAAACAAAATTTCTTTTCAAATTAAAGTTAACTTTCACCCATCAAATTTTTTTTGCCCTTGTACATTCAAACTTTTTTCATAAAATAATAGCTTTAAATTCATTTCAACATAAATACAAACAAACGCCTAGGCCTCCATTGTACGAGCATAAAGGGACGTTTAACTGCTCAAAATACGATCTAATTATATTCTCTAAAATCAACCAAACAAGAAATATTTTTATCATAAACTACGAGGCTCTGAATTTTCCATTATACCCGGAAATATATAGGCACGTGATTTTGAAACCTTATCGAGCACAATAATAATAAAAATTAACTTTTCCCCCTTTTATCATTCTTGTAAACATTTCAATAAATAAAAGACAAAACAATTACAAACATTCCCTTAGAACACTTTAACCCTAGCTATTAGGAGGTTCCCTTTGAGTACAATTGATGTGAGTGGTGTTAATACCTTCCCCTCAGATAACTAACTCTCGAACCCGATTTTGTTGTGATGATCATTTCTTCTTTAAAAGGGTTTTATCGATGTTTCCCTTTAAATAAAAACTTCGGTGGTGACTTTGTAGTTTATTTCAAGCATTAGTATGCTCGAGTATTTTTTGCGCCGCGAAAATATCTATTCAACGAATATGCAGTTGTGGGTACTGCTTCTCCCCATAACTATTTCGATAAGTTCTTCCCTTTCAACATGCTTCTCACCATGTTTATAATCAGTCAATTCTTCCTTTTGGAAACACGGCTTTGTTTCCGTGTATAGGGTGGTACTACCTCAGGTACTATTCCCTCTTGATCACAAAACTCCCCAAAGTCATTTGAGACGTATTCGCCTCCACCATCCATTTTAAAAACTTTGAGCTTATGACCACTTTGTCTTTCAACCATGGACTATAACTTTTTAAACACTTCAAATACCTTATCCTTTCTCTTGATTAGTTATGTCAATATCTTTCTAGTGAGATCATCGATGAATGTGACAAAATATCTATTACCACCAATCAAATCATCTTGCATAGGTCCACACACATCTGAATTCACCACCTCAAGGTGATGCTTAGTTCTACAACCTGCATCCTTGCTGAATTTACCCTTATGTTGCTTCATTTGCACACATTCTTCACAAATTTCATCTAATATATTGATTAATGGAAGCCCTGTCACCATTTCATTCTTTTGCAAAGCATTGAGATCTTTAAAGTTGAGATGTCTGAGCCTGTAGTTCCATATCAAATATTTTTAATTAGCCATTGTAGCAAGACACCTATGCTTCACAACCTTCAACTTAACCTTGAAAGTTCTATTGGTATCCATAGGAGCTTCTAGGATCAAAACTCGGTTTGCATCCATAACGTGTAGCGCCTTATTCTCCATACGAATCTTGTAACCCTTCTCAAGTAATTATCCAATACTTAAAATATTACACTTGATTTCGATAATATACAACACATCCTTTGTCAAAGAATGTCTATCATCCCTTCTTTCGATTGATACATCACCGATCTCTTCCTCCGTTAGAGTGGTATCATCCGCGAACTTTACTTTGTTCTTCATGGCATGATTGATTATAACAAACCAATATGTCCTCCCCATCATATGAGTAGAACATCTGGAGTCCAAATACCATTGATCACTAGACTGCATTGCTTCCCTTAAAGTCACCATTTCATTTTCTTCTGCATGTATCTGGTTATAGAATTTATGTAACCGGTTACAACATGGTTATGCAATGTCTCCAAAACTACTATTGTTGTGTCCCGCGGCCTATTACTACTGCATTCCCCTTTTGTGATCATGGCCAAAAGTAATTTCTCATCATCAAACCCTTGTCTTGCAAACTTGGTTTCATCCACTTTAGGTTCCTTCTTGTTCACATTGCACTCTCTTTCAAAATGATTGAACATTTGACAAACAAAGCATTGCATCTTACTCTTGTCAATCCTTCTTCTTTAAGCTCTAAATTTACCTTGACCACTATTATTGTTGCATCTGCTCTCACCCTTTTGACAAGTCGAAGTATTAGAATTTTATGATTCTCTTCCACCAAAACTCTGAAAATTCCCTTTACTCTTCATGGGACATTTTCACTTCGATTTCTTGTCTTTCTCATTGAAACGAGCTTATAAAGCGATCTCTGCTTTTGCATTATCACAATTTCTCTCCTCCAACCTTTGCTCGTGTGTCTCAAGAGAGCTTTGTAGCTCCTATTTTCTCATTGTTGCAAGATCTTTCGATTCCTTAATCGTAGCAACCATATTGTCAAATCTTGGTGTTAAAGAACATAAGATTTTCGCGACAACATTCTGCTTCGTGATCGTTTCTCCACGTGCTTTTACTTGGTTCACCAATCAAGTAATTCTCATTGTGAAATCGTTGATGGTCTCCTTCTCCCCCATTTGTATCAATTCAAGTTGACATTTGTGAGTTTTTAACCTTATAACCTTCGCCTTGTCAGCCTATGTGTATGCATTCTCCAAGATTTCGACGCTTGCTTCGATGATTCACAATCACCAATTTTCTCAAAATTATATGTATCAACACATTGATTGTATTAAAAACAATGCCTTGAAATCTTTCTTTTTTTTCTTCTTATGTGTTGCTCATTGTGCATCCGTTGCTCCTTCGACAAGAGGATTCACACCGTTCTTGATCACTTCAAGAACATCTTAGTATCCTAACAACATATTTATATCAAATGTTAGAACTTAGAATCACAAGATTGGTGAAAATAAGGTAATTGAGAGAGAGAGAGAGAGAGAGAGAGAGGAGAGAGAGAGAGAGGAGAAGAGAGAGAGAGAGAGAGGATGAGAGAGAGAGAGAGGAGAGAGAGAGATGAGGAGAGAGAGAGAGAAGAGAGAGAGAGAGAGAGAGAGAGAGAGAGAGAGAGAGAGAGAGAGAGAGAGAGAGAGAGAGAGAGAGAGAGAGAGAGAGAGAGACGAGAGAGAGAGAGAGAGAGAGAGAGAGAGAGGAGAGAGAGAGAGAGAGAGAGAGAGAGAGAGAGAGAGAGATTGAAGGTAAGAAATTTTCATTAACATTGATTGAGATGTGTCCCATAAATATTTATACAAATTACAATAAATTGGACACAAATAACAAAACTGAAAAACTAAAAATACTGCATGTAATAAGTTATACAAAATCTATAATCAATTATAATTATTTTAACAATTAAAATAAATATAGTGGTAACCTATTATCAAAATATAATACAATGATTTTGTAATCGATTACCAAAATCAAGTAACCGATTATAACTTGTGGTTTCTCTCAACACCTTTTACATTAGTTACAATTGTTTAGAAAATACATACGATTATTTTCACAAAATAAACACAACTTTACATTTACAAGTGGCGAAACTTAACATTTATAAGTGGAAAGAAACACAACTACAGAGAGGCTTTTTGATAGTACAATATGAAATTACATTATTGAACACGCATTTGGGTTATCATCATTAAAAAGCACCATCACTTTCATCTCAGGAGACTTAGGGTCACCCACAGCTTGAGGAACATTCCGGACAAAACCAGTTGGTGCTTTCATGTCATATGCCCCTTGAGCATAAGGATAAGTCACTAAATTGTATGGAACAAATGGCCAATTGTCAGCTGTTTTTCCTGTGCTCTTCACTCCATCTAGGACCTCCTTTGCATCTACATTTCCAGTCACGGTTACCCTTTGTAGCTTTTGATTTACAGTAAATGACTCCACCCCTGAAAATATCATTACCCCAAATAAATATATCGTTAGTTAGGACCAATATGCATTTTTACATGTTCATTACTCGCAGTGTAAGTGTTTTGGAGTATTTCAAATTGATAAACTACAAATATACCTAGTTTGACTTTGCTTAAATATTTGTTCAAATTGCATACTAATTTATCTAGATATACATATTTTATATTAAACATGACGATCACGTGTTAAGGTACTTACGTACCACTTTAAAGTCATACAGCGATAGAAAAGAAGTTGCCTAGAATATGTCAAAAGATTTATTAAGAAAAACGTTGCATCGTAGAAATAAGAAGGTTTTATTAAAATGAATATAAATTGAAACAAAACTTACATGTGTACCTACCTCGAAGATTATATGATGTTTCTTAGGGCCAAAGATAAGAATTGGTCTTAGATAATTTTGAAATTTAATATCATGGCCCCAATTACTTGTGCATTCGTGTTCTACATCATGCATGTTAATCTAATAATAATTATGTTATATATGTTCCTAATGTATAAGACTAAATATTTATAGGATTCAGTTAAATTCAGATTCATGTTATTAGCAAGTATATTTATATAAATGGAAGCAAAAGAACCATGTCATATTGTTACCGACGGATATAGTTATTTGTAAAGATAATGAGAGTATTATATGAACCTTCCATGTCTTTCACTGCATTTTTAACTTTCTTTACACAACCATCACAATCCATTTTCACTCTGACATGAACCGTCTAAATACAAAAAATAAAAATGTGTTAGTTAGGAACAGAAACCTCAATTGTATGAATTAATTAAGGTAAAGACATATAAAATAATTTTTTTTATAAAAAAAAAAACCTTCTTAGGAATACGTTTTTCTATAGGTCTTGAACATTCAATGAAACATTCTGAAAGATGGCAAAGAATACCCATTTATATATGATCCAAGGCAATAAAATGTGACAAGAAAACTTATTACTGAAAGGAGAGAATTTGATGAAACTTGGTTATACTTGTTTGTGAATCTCAACATATATGATTTGGTATATATATATAAAACGTATTAACAATAAAGCAGTTACGACAAGATACTAGTAAGTTTCGGTTATTAATGTTACTTGCACATCAATTTAATGACGTACTATATATATAATTGTTATACTATACTCTCCTCAACCATTGCAAAAGAAAATATTGATTGACTTGACTTTAGTTTTCATTGGGGGACGGGGGTTTGATTTGATGGTTAATTAATTTGTGTAAATAACCCATCTTTTTCCTCTAAAACATAATGGACTTATTTTTATATTTGTTCTCACACTCAAGGGACATTACGCCTTAATTTTCATATAATTTCATATAAACTAAAATTTAATTAAAAAGAAGTATGACGGGTATTTCAATTATTTTGTAAAGTATTCAAGCATCTTGTCGGGCAGTTACACCAAGGAAAGTTGCGATGATTTGCTCCCATTGATTTAATTCTCGTATGATAATACTAAGATATATGTTTTTTATTTATTTTTAAGAAATGGTCATTAATTGAAAATCATCTCATACATGATTTCCGGCATAATGGAATTTGGGTCACCTTCAATCCAAACCCTAAATTTAATTTGAATTGTTTATATTTTTTTAGCACATGCGTCACATAGTCACATAACTGTTAGAGAATTTTTTAATATATTTTATAGATTTTTAAAAGTTTTCGATAAAATTTTCATAATATCTCTTAAATTCGGATATATATATATATATATATATATATATATATATATATATATATATATATATATATATATATATATATATATATATATATATATATATATATATATATATATATATATATATATATATATATATATATATATATATATATTCGAACGAATTTTTTTTAATAAAATATTTAATTTCATATACGTATATTCAAAAATATCTTATTTTATTTCTATAAAATAGTTTATTTTTAGATATGCATTTTTGAATAAATCCTTTTTTTTTACAAAAAAATGTGTTTTCACATATGTATATTCGAAAAATTCTCTATTATTTTTTTAAATATATTATTCTTTTTATAAATTACAATTAATATCATTTTCTCTATTTAATTTGATTAAATATTTAAAAATGAAAAAAAAAATTCAATAATAAAAAATAAAATGATTATATTTGTAAAAAAAACGTAATAAATATCTTTTAAAATTTTTAAAAATGATATCTTTAAATTAATGCAAAAGTTAAATAAAAAACATATAATTATATTGATAAAAAATTTCTAATATTACTAAAATGTCTATTCACTTTTGTTTACTAAATCACTCATTTATTTTAAATTATTCCTAATTTATTATAAAAATAGTTTATTATTTTCTAAATCTTAATGTTACTTTGATTTTGTTTTTGTTTTATTTTTAATTTATTGTTTTTGTTTTAAAAAAAACACAAAAAGAAAAAATTTTGAAAATGCATTTCCGATTTATTTTTTTTTAAAATAAGATTTTTTCGAATATACATATATGAAAATACATTTTTTATATGATGCGTTCGGATATGCATATTCGAAAGGTATTTTGGAATTTTTGAAAGTTTATTTCATTCCTATAAGAGTGTAATAAGAAATTCTCTAATTATTATCTCATTTGGGGTAGAAAATTATAGTCTCTCTAAAATGCTTTTTTATCTTCCTTTTGAGGCATTTATAAACCAAACATTTCTGAGTTTTATCTGTTAGATAAATTTTGAAAATCGAATGGATCTAGGCATGAATCGTGAACGAAATCACTTTTCTAATAGTATTTCAAGTATTATGAGAATGTCTTAGAGTTTACATGTTAAAATACCCCAGATAATTCAGCATATACTCAAGTTTGCACAAGAACAATGAAAATTCAAATATGAGGAAGACGAAATCTAAGATTTTGTATGAAGAAGATAATTTTTGTAATGTACTTTTCTTAATTTGAAATACTTTATTTATAAGTCAAGTTAGTGTTATTTCATAGAGTTGCGACCTTTGATAAAACACACCCTTTCAACAACACTTTTTCTAAATATTGTATTATTTTTCCTACAACAACACTTTTCAAGCATTGGCTATTTGCATTGAAGTGTTGTCTATTTCTAAATTCAAAACTCAAACTTAAGCAACGACCATAAAACACAAGAGCAACAACCATCACCATGTGTGGCGGCTTTTGGCACATGTCAGCCGAAGGCTGGCCGTCTTCGTGTAACATCGCGAGTAGCCTTATTGCTCTGATGTGTCGTGCCTAAGTGCTCAAGTGATGCCTACAAGTCACCACTAGCACATTTATGGCTACACCCTCAGACCTTGTCTTAGAGTCGGTGTTGTCGGTGCTGCTATTGACGTGGGAGTGTATGAAGAAGACAAGTGACATAATATTTGGGACCACCACACTTATCCATATGACACTTTATCCTCTTTAGCTTTTTTATTGAGTTAATAAATATAACTCTTTATAAAGGTTTTTAAAGTGAGTGATACTTTATATGTGAGACTATTTCTCATGCATTTATTATTCATTTACTCACTTGTATTTTTTCTTGTCATTTTTGGAACTCACCCATGGACATTTATTGTTATTAATTACAACAATCCCAAACTTGTTTAAAAAAGGACAAGACCAATTCAACAAAAAAGGAAATAAAGAATGTTAATATATTTAACCTTAGTAAGAACAACACAAAGTCTAATATGAATTTTAGGTAGCAATGCTTTGAATTTGTTATCCCTTGTGATTAGACAATGTTACCTTACACACAATCTTTAATGGTTATTCGCCTACATCTCTCGCCTAACGTTATTTATGGCCACGTGATTTTCTTATTTCGTAAATTTTCCGTGAGAGAAACTCGAGTTCTTACTTTGAGACAACACCATCTCGAAATTCACATAGGTGAAGTTTATATTGCATTTAATTTTCTTGAGATACGTACTCTCGACATTGAACTTCTTTAAGAGTCTGAAAACTCAACCCTCAATATGTAATAGTCAACATTATTACATAATAACACATAAACATCAAAATCAACGGCTTGTTACCCATTGAATTTTGAGGTTAATATTTTGTTAACATTGGATTGGGTTGTCACTGTTGTTGGAATTGTTGTACATGTGACTTCACACAAGAGAGGGTGAATTGTGTGATTCAGAAAAAATATGATTTTGAAAAACTTTGCGAATAAAAGTCAGAGTGTAAAAATATTTTAAATATTAAGCAGCGGAAAATAAATTGCTGGAGATAAAATGCAAAAAGTAAAGAGTTTAAGGAAATAGAACACCAAGAATTATAGAGGTTTGGTCAAAACAAAAATACCTATCCCACCCCCTCCAAGAATTTATCTTGAGAGTATACAATAAACTTTGAGAGCTTTTAGTAGGTAATACTCACGAATCCCCTTTTACAAGAAAAATGGCCGACTTTAAACAAAATAGTAATATTGAAAATATAGTAGTTGAGTTTTTTCCTTTAAACTGTAGATATAAGTGGTTAGTCTTCTTTCTATGAGAATGTTGGAGGGGTTATTCTTGAAGCCTCTAACCAAAATTTATATGATTTTACCATGGGTTGAGCTCATAAACCTTATACCTTGGTTTAACACCGCTTAACCAATAATCTGAGAGATTTTAATATCGGACTAATCTCGAACCTTGTCCAAAATTTTACCACGGACTAAGCTTTGACCTAGTCTTGGTTTTACCATGGGCTTACCAAGAACCTAAAGAGATCTTACCACAAGTTGATCTCAAACCTAAACAAGGGTTTGTTCACACAATCCCTAAACCAAAGTTTTTATGGGTTTAACTTCTAACCCACAAATAATCCCTAAACGAATATTATTCAATCAAGGTGTATAAAAAATATTTCCTTTGTGAATCTTACCACTCAACCCTTCCATAATATCAACTTATCCTCACTCACAAAAGAACTTTCTCTAAGAAGCACTTCGACTAAAATATTAGAGAGAGAAAGTTAAAGAAAAGTTTATAGGGAGAGAGTGAGAAGTGTCAAAATACGTTTCTGAATGATTTGAAATGAGAGAATGGACCTCTGTTTATAGGCTAGAGGTTGGCTCAAAAAAGAATTTGAAATTAATGCTTTTTATGGCATTTCAATCGATTAGCACTTATGCCAATCCATTAGATATTCAAAATATAACCGATTGTAAGTTCAAAATAGGAAATAAAAGATATCAAGTTGTTTCACATAATTAAGGTGATCTCCTAATCTCTTGGGACCCAATTTTTAACTTAGCTAATCGATCAGGTCATGTTGCACCCTAAAATTTGTCATTCTATCTTGTTTTTATTTGGCTTAGGCTTCACATTAATTTGAAGCCTTTCATTAAGACATTTGCATAGCATTCATTCATTGAATAAGGCACATAAGGTTCAAAAATTCAGTGATCCTGCAAGCTAGGGTTTCATAGTGGCTTAATGTGTATATATCAAATAAAGTCTGATTCTTCTTCAAGCATTGGATTATGGAATTAAGGTTCTTGATTCACGGAGATTGTGGATTTCTTTATCATCATGCAAGGCTATTCTCCATCGAGATATTTCAACTAGGAATCTTATGAGTTAGGGATTGATTCCATGACAATCTTCAGCATCATTTCAAGTGGGATTCTCATCCAAGACTTTCTCATGATTTTCTTGTTTACACCAGCCAAGATCATTGACGTTCTTTTCAAGAATTTAAAGATGTGTAGTTGGGCTCAAGATCTTACTTATAGTTTATGAATCAAGCCATATACTCCTTTATGTTTTTATAACAAGAAAACCATCTCAGGATGCATTAAGATGTCATTAGGATTATCTTTCATCCGTAAAGAGATTCATTGTAATGCTTGAACTATAAGGGTTTGGCTAAGGTTTTTGAGCAAAAAGAGGAGTATAGATCCCTCTCGTTAGGGTTTTGTGCATAAGTTTTATTGAATCTTGGTTGAGGGTACAAAGCATTGTGAACCATTGATACAAGAGTGAAGGAGGATTTCCAAAGATCAAACATGGCAAGTGGATTTTGATTCAAATTCATTTTGAAAGAGAAGAATAGTTTAAACACTAAGAACTTAGCACTTTCTTTCAAAAGTTCACAGTATGGAGAAGATTAATACATTTATTCAAGTATATCCAAGGCTATCTCTTTCCGGGTTCACATCATCAAGCCAAGTGAAAATAGGTTTCATAGAGAAACAAATACTTCATTCAAAAATCTTCAAAGTTACATGTTCATTCAAAACTATTACAAGATAAAGTACAAAAGCATCTCAAGTTTGTTACCGACACATGGCATTACAAAGAAACAATTCAATTACATGGAAAACAAAAACCTAAAACATAATGACTAGTCTTCCACCTTCATCATTCTTCAAACTCTAATGACTAATCTTCATGCTTCTTTCATCACTTTGATTCTTTCTTTAGGCCTTACATCTCCATTAAACTTCATGCTTCCAAGCAAAGAACATGTTTCTTCATTTTTCAAACCATGCCATGGTCATTCTTCATGCCGTACATGTTTCAATATTCTTTATGCTCCAAAAGCATTTGCCATTCAAGATCCTCATATAGCCAGCCCTGCACATATATCATCAAAACCAGTCCAATAAATCCAAAAGAAACAGTTCAATATCCAACATCAAAACCAGTCCATAAACCAAAACTTGCCTCAGAAAAATCAAACAAATATCAGCTACACATTAAGACAATTCAAATCAGCCATGAACCCATGGATTAACACAATAAAACCTGCATAAACATTAAACTAGAAAAATATCAAAACAGAAAAACAAGGAGAAATTATAAACTCGGAAAATAGATGAAAACCGTGGAATTCAAAAAAGGGAGAAATTACATTTCAGCAACTCAGGAAAAGAAAAGAGAAGTGAAGCACAAAAAAAAACAGAGGAAAACAGAAATTTGCATCGTATCAAAAGGAAAATATAGAGGAAATTGAAAAGGGAAATAACAAAAAATCACAATATTCGATCTCATAATTAACTTCCAAAGATTAACAACTCAGATTCAACTCAGTTATAACTAACTTTCACATCACTAACATATTATAAAAATAGAAAATCACCTTGAGATTGATTCATTCTTCGCAATCCGAAGAATCACCAGAAACTCAACGAAAAAAATTCTCTCTTGAGTTCTCTCTGAACTGCATCAAAATCTTCATCATCAACTGCTTCATATCTTCATCGTCTTCACTCTCTCTACTTCTGATTCAACCTTCAACAATCATCACGCAACAACACCACACTCTGTTTATCACGCAACAACAAATCTTTCATCGGTTCACGCATCATATCTTCAACCATGCAAATACGCAAATACACAACAATAATCCGAACTCAACAACAATAATATCACATAAACTCACACAAGAAGAACTAGGAATTGACAGAATCGTTCAAATCGGAAACGCTTACCTGAGCCTTAACCGACATTCTCTGGTTTTCTTATCATCGTCATCTTCTCGAATACGCGCCGGACGATTTTCCGGCAGGTAAGTTGCGTTGCTTTCTTTTTCTTCTTCGAGTATGTTGATTTGCTTCTTGTGCTGATTGAAGCCAATCAAAATAAAACACGCATCAGAGAAGTTATTGATGACAGAGATGAGACGAAGCAGTTGAGACGAAATAGGATGAGACGAAGATGATGAAGAGGAGGTCGTGACGAAGACAATGAGGAGGCGACGTCGTGTAACGGAGGTTGCGGATTGCAGACAAACTGAACTGAGACAAGACGAATCTGAAACAGAGGCACGCGAGAGAACGAAGAGAGTTGAGGCGAAGAGATATGATACGGTTGTGCATGGTGATGCGGTGAATCGGAAAAGGTGAGTTGGAGGTGGAGACGGCGGCGTGGTTGAGAAAGAAGAGAGGAGAATCATCTTCACGAAAAAGCTGTACAGCCACAACCTTTTCAACCCTATCCTTTCTAAACCTACACTGTTTCTCCAAGTTCATTTTTAATTTCGTTTTTCTTGTTTTGTTTATTAATAAATAGAATAATAAATATGAAAAATGGAATAAAGAAGTGAATTGGTTTTTGGACTAAGCTTGTTTTTATCTTTTAGTTGGGTCAAACCACATGTTCCCCCTAAGTCAATAGCTTCTTTTTTTTTTTGGTATAACAGAGAATAATTGAAACAAAAACTGATTGTGGACCTAGCAGTTTGGGCTTAATGCCAATATTTCCTACACACCAGTTTCTAGACTTGCGCCTCCTGTTTCATTCATTTTTCTATTTTCTTTTTAATTCATGTTTTCAATTTTATCAATTGTGTGTATGATTTCTTTTCCTGAGTTGATTTCTTGACATGATAAAATGACATAAAAAATATTAGAATAGGATTTCTTTTATTTTGAATAATTGTTAATTGCTTGTGTGATTACCATGTTTCTTTAGGATTATTAACTCGATTTTAATCTTTTGGTTAAATTGAATTAATTAAACTTTAGAATTTAATCCAAGCATGTTAATATTTAGGTAGAATTTTCTTTGATCTTAACTTTAGGTCCACATTGCATTCTAACATTAGGGGTTGATTTCCCTTAGTTTTTGCTTCTTTTTGCATTGTATGTAAAACTAAAACTTTTTTTCTTATCAAAACTCAAAATACTTAATAAATAAAGATGTGAATCATATGCAGTTGAGTCTTATAAAAAATGGTGAGGCGGTACATTCTGAACCTTGCTTTTCTTCCATTTCCAGACTATATTATGATTCAATTCGCAAACTCTTTTACAAATAAGCAAAGAAGTAGTAAGTGTCCCTCCAGTGGGATCCATTTGTTATTATACCAACAAAAACACTCAACAAATTCAAACTTTTTTGTCTTCGGGCTTTTCCTTTGAAAACCTTTTCAGGTAAGAACATGCCAATTCCTTTCTACGACAACACGTGAGTCTCCAAAGGTCGAGCTGCAGTAGAATGCAAAATTGGTATCGTTCATAAAAAACACAAACAAACCAATATTTTTAAGAAGAACTACGGTGATCTGATTCTTTTGGGATACGTAGGCACTTGGTCTCACGACCAAAGGCAAACACAATAATAATAAAAAACTTTATTTTTGTTTGTATATAATTCTCTGCATTCATGCATTTCCCTTAGCTTGTTAGCTTTAGATAAACACACCCTTTGATTAGAACAACGAGAGTGGATCACGTGGAGTGCCACAGACGTGAGGGGTGGTAATACCTTCCCCTTGCGTAATTGACTATCGTACCCGTTCTCTTAGTCACAAGACCATGATTTCTCCTTTATAGGTTTTCTTTGATGTTTTCCATTCCATTCCGTGGGATAAATAAATACTTAATGGCGATTTTATTGTTCATTATTTTTCTTAGTTGCTTCAGCTGGCGACTTCACTGGGTAAACCTAAGTGATTCAATCCTAGCTCTTGTTTGTTCATGTTCATTGGGTGTTTATATCTTTATGATTCACTTTTTGTTTGTTTATTGCATGCATTGCATTTTATTGCTTTCCATATTCTGGATATTGTTGTTGTTCTGGTTGCTGGATTTTCTGTTTTTTAGGTTGGGTTGAGTGTTGCTTTGAGGTAAAAGGCTTGGTACCCATGCTAGAGAGAAACACTTAGGAACACATAGGACTATAGTGGAGTCATGACGGGTACTGGATGCAGATCCTACTTGTGCAGTCGTGTGTGCCACGTGCATACAAGGTTCATTGTGAGATGCTATCGTTATGCATGTTCAGTGTTACGATGATAGTATTTTCACGTGGACTCAAGACTCTGTGGACCTTTTGACCTTACCCAAACCAGAATGGACATGTGATTTGGGGTGGGAATTATTCTTATAGGTATATATGTTTATCTTCATGGTACTTGGTTTCTTTGTGTTCTGAGATGGTTCTGGATCTTTGATCTTGATATATTTAGCCTGTTCAGGGATTTCACATCATTTATTCAGAGGATTGTGTAGTTGTTATCCATGATATATTGAACTTTTGAACCTTTGGTGTTGCGTTCCATTTGCATCAATCTTTATAAGAGTTTATTTCTCTTATCATCCATGCATTATCATGCATCTCATTCATTTCAACCATAAGACTCATTCGCAACCTGGATTCTTATTCAAAATCTCAAGACTACAAAGTTGATTTCCCAACATTGTCATTATCATGGAGCAGTTACAGGAAGATATGGATCAGATAAGCACATTGATGGGAACCCATATGGGTTAGTTCACGGAAGTTATTCAAGCCATCTCCCGTGGGCAAGAAGAGTTAAGACAGACTGTTTATAGGAAAACTACTATTGTTAATCATGTTAATCCACCAAGTGTTAATATTAACCAAGGGGAGGTTCCTTTGAATCAAAATGTCAGATACACCATTCAGATTTTTGTCAATGGAACTCCACACCATGAAGACATTTCTGATGCGTCATTTGATACCTTTAGGTTCCGGATTGATGAGAATGAGTCTGAGAAAAGGTTATACCTCTTAGAAGAGAAGGTGAAAGCTATTGAGGGTCATAATTCTCTTGGTTTATACGCTACTAGCTTGTGCCTAGTACTTGATATCAAGATCCATGCTAAAATCAAAGTCCCCATCTTCGAGAAGTACAAGGGTACTGCTTGTTTGATGACTCACATCAAGGCATTCTACATTAAGATGGCTCCTGTAATAGGGTGGGAGAACGACTTTTTTTTGTTTTATCCAAATATACAGATAGCAAGAGTTGCCACTGACTTTTCTTTTATCCAATATAAGGAAAGGCTGAAAAGAACAGGAAAGACCTTGATGGATTTTGATTTCGAGGGGTAAGTTATGAAAAGGGAAGGTGTTAGCACCCTTTTCATCCATAGTTATCTACGGGCTCTTAATTGCTAGCTCACTTTTGAAATTTTGCTTTGTGCGTGTGATTTGTTTGAATTTATTTTAAAAAGCCAAAGTACGACCAAATTTGTAATGATTCTTGTATCAGTCCTCAAGAACGCGTACAAAGTATTTTAGAAAATATTTTGAAAGTGTGATGTGTAAAAATATTTTTTTAGAAAAGACCATGAGCGAGTGATAACAGTTCTTACCCACTCAAGGTCGTTCTTGTTATTTTCCTTCTCCATTAGAGATAGTGATATCCATACCATTAGTAAGTAGGTAGCCCCATCCATTGGATGTGAAGGGACTGGCGTAGGATCATCGAATGGTCATTGAAGGCAACATGTAGAGATACTTTAGCAATTGTATCGAAGGGACTAGATCATTTTTCATAGAAAATATATAAGGGTCATCGAGGGACTATGATCTTTATTTGAAGGGACTTTGCTAAAGTATCCCCACTTTCGAGGGACATGACCATGTTTCCGAAGGCAACAAAAAGAGGTTACCCTAGAGGTGTAAAGTGTGAATAGTGTGTTCAGTTCAGTTATTTATCTTGTATTAGGGTTATCTATCGATTGTTTTTAGATCTTGCCACACATGTCCTAATTACTAACAGACGAATATATACATAATTAAAGGTACAGAAAGTAAATCCTACTCTATTACAAGGCTTTGGAGCAGTTACATAAAGAATGCGGGAAAGTAAAGTGCGGAATTTAGACCATAGACTATTACATCCTATGAGTAGTTACATAGTAGAAAAGAATGCAGAAAGATAAATCTAAACTATTACAAGGAAAAGTTGTGCGACCTATACAATTTCTCTAAGAATTTAAATGCAAAATAAATAAAAAATGTTGAAAAATATTTGAATGTGATTTTTTTATGAAATTAATTTGATCTTAATTAAATAATTAAAACCCTAAGTCTAATTAATAAAAATCCTAAAGTCTAATTAATTTTAATTTTAAGAAAATATTTATTAACCTAATTAATTAGTAATAAAAAAATATCAAAATTAATTATTGATTAGAAACCTAAACCTAATTTATTAGGGTTTTGAAAAAAGGGTTAAAATTAATTAATAGTTAATTAAGGAAAATAATTAGGGTTAGTGGAAAATATTAGGGTTAGTGATGAAAAAAAGAGAGAAGAAAATAGGTTAGTAAAACAAGAAAAAAAGATTGTATGGGGTGGGTGTTGAACCCACGCCCTCCAACATTCACAGTTGCATAGCTTGCCACTAGGCTAAGCACTTGTTGGTGATGGGAAACATGTGCAACATATTATATTGGAAACCTGCGTAAATTGGGAAAATACACGTCCTTGTATACCAAAGCCTTATCGCGCACGTTCTTGCCACTGAGGTGGTTGTTTCATCCGGTAATCCAATGAAACAAAATAAATATATTATCAAACAAAATTAATGCACCGGAGAAGCGTCGGAGCCCTAGCTCCGGTCGTCTTCTCCGGAGAAGTGATGTTTATAATAAAGTAACAAATGTTAGTGATAAAGAAAGACCCTACCCTCTAATTTGAGGGTTGCGAACTCATTGGTGGCCTTAGTTTTGGCTAAAACATCCTGCACAGTGAGATATAATCAAAATAATCCAAAACGACATAAACACGGTGATGCATGATTATGGCGTCATGGGACTTATGAGATGGTCCATACCTGTTCTATTACATCTCAGGAACACATTAGCATGGTTAGTTTCAATCAAAACAGCATAAAGTTTAAAACTCGAAATTCATAAAAATATATCAATCGACCATGCTTGGAATGCTTGTTTCACACACTATTGATCATCAAGAACGATCAAGTCTTACCCTATAACACCTCAGGGATTGATTGGAATGGTTGGTTTGCTTTGAGAAGGGCTGGAAATAGGGTTTCAAGTTTGCCCTAGTTTGACAAAAATTTGAGATTTGAAGGGTGTGCTCTTGCATGGTTTTTTTGTTGTCCTTTGTCTGAATATAATGAGCATTTATATAGGAAGAGATTAGGTCAAGAAGAATGGGCTTGGACCTCTTGTA